AAAGGAAGGAAGGAAGGAAGGAGGGAAGGAAGGAAGGAAGGAAGGAGGGAGGGAAGGAGGGAAGGAAGGAAGGAGGGAAGGAAGGAGGGAAGGAGGGAAGGAAGGAGGGAAGGAAGGAAGAAGGGAAGGAGGGAAGGAAGGAAGGAGGGAGGGAAGGAGGGAAAGAGGGAAGGAGGGAAGGAGGGAAAGAGGGAAGGAGGGAAGAAGGGAAGGAGGGAAGGAAGGAGGGAGGGAAGGAGGGAAGGAAGGAGGGAGGGAAGGAAGGAGGGAAGGAAGAGAATGGAATGGTAATGGTGACAAGTGTGATTCTCAGACTAGTACATCAATTGCTGGAGCACTCTGCAGTATAACTTCTAGCACAAAAATTTCTCTAGATCTCCCAGTTCTTCATTAGGCTTCTCATTTTTTTTTATTCCATTCACTCAACAATCTTTAAATCTTTGTCCTATTCAGGACAAAGCACTATGCTAGGCATAGTGACAGATGATTAGAATTTGGTCACTGCCCTCATGAAGCTCACAATCTAGCAGTGTAGAGTCACTCTCAAGTGTATCCCAGAGCACGAAGTGACTGAAACATTGTATACAGAAAGTAAAGTGTCATGAGAAGAGAATTATGGAGCCTTATCAACTCACCAAGAACTGGAAACTCCTGTCTCATTTTACAAACTGGCTTGACGAGCAACATTTGTTTCACCTATCTGACACTGATTCATTCCCTCAAAAATTATTTATCACTTTATGATCAAACTGACATTTTAATTCAGAAGTGCTTAGAGATGATGGTCAGCATTGTGCAGATATATGGTTATACAATGGTAATTACATATAATGGTAATTACATTCCAAGGAATCAAGGAAGGATAGGAAAGGGGCTCAAAGATCACCTCATCCAACCCATACTTGTATAGGAATCTCCTATTCTAGAGGAATAGGTGGTTTAAGCCTGCAATAAGAAGGGAAAAGTAACTCAAGTTTGCCCATTCTACATGCAGTCAGGCTAATGATTAGGAAGAGTTTCCTTATAATGACTCAAAATAGGCCTCCTAGCATATAGCAAAAAGAACACTGGTTCTGTAGAGGGAGAGAGGACTGGAGGGAGGGAGGAAGCAAGTGTAAATGCTAAGTAACATTGGGCCCTTACAGAGAAGCTTTATTGTTTGGAGGAGGAAGCTAAGTGGTAGAATGAATACGGCACTGGACTTAGAGTCAGGAAGATCATCTGAGTTCAAACTTGACCTCAAGACACATGCTATCTGTGTGACCCTGAGCAAGTCATTTACCCTCTGTTTGCCTCAGTTTCCTCATATGTAAGATGGAGAAGATAACAATAGCACCTACCACCCAGGATTGCTGTGAGGATTAAATAAAATTTATGAAGGACTTTGAAAACAAAGAAATATACAAATGCTAGCCATTATTATTAATTATTTTAGTCTTCAAGCTTATGAAAGAAAGAGCAGATATAGGTAAACTTTTTTTCATAAGGCTTAGAAACCAGGTAATATTTGTCAGATAAGATTATTTTGGAATGTTTGGGGAGACATGATTTGATATACAAAATTACTTGGGTGGAGGGAGGCTTACTGTAGCTCTAACACTACTGGGCTAAAGCTCTGATAAGCTAATTAAATGAAGTCACTCAGAACTTTATACCTGGAATATCATGTTCCATTTAAGAACTATGATGATAAACTGGAAAATATCCAGAAAAGAATAATCAGGATTGTGATGGGTCTTGAATCCATGACATGTGAGGACAGGTTGAAAGAACTGGGCAGGTTTAACCTGAAAATGAGAAGACTCGGGGGGAGGATGTGAGTTGTCTTCAAGAATGTGCAAGGTTGTCATATGAAGGATTCCTGAGACTTACTCTCTTTGGCTCCAAAGAACAGAAGTGGGGAGCAATGAATCGAAATTGCAAAGAGGAGGATTTTGGTTTGATATGAGGCAAAACTTCCTAACAACAAGAACTGTCCAAAAAGTGTAACTGGTTTCCCCTCCTTGGAAGTCTTCAAACAGAAGCTGGGTATATGTGTATATATGTTATAGTAGGGATTCCTTCTATGTATGGGTTAGACTAAATGATGACTGAGATCTCTCCCAGCTATCAAACTCTATGATTCTTCTCACAGAATTTCATTCTCTGTACTACATTTCCTGGACCTCACTATCATTTCTCAGATGTCTTCTCCTTGTACCCCTGTAACCCCTCCCATTGGTGAGTTTTTTCTGGAACCTCTATTTTTTTTTTATTTAAAATGTTTTTAAATTTATTTTTAGCTTTCAGCATTTACTTTTATATGATTTTGAGTTCCAAATTTTTCCTCCTCCCTCCCCTCCCCCATCCCCAAGACAGCATGCAATCTGATAGAGGCTATACTTGTACAATCATATTAAACATATTTCTACATTACTCATGTTGTAAAAGAAGAATCAGAACCAAAGGGAAAAACCACATGAAAGAGAAAACAAAAACAAAAACACACACACACACAAAGGAGAAAAATAATATGTTTCAATCTGCATTCAGACTCCATAGTTCTTTCTCTGAATGTGGATAGCATTTTCCATCATGAGTTCCTTGGAACTGTAATAGATCATTGCATTGCTGAGAATAGCTAAGTCTATCATAGATCATCACACAATGTTGCTGTTACTGTGTACAGTGTTCTCCTCGTTCTTGTCAGTTCATGTAAGTTTTTCCAGGTTTTTCTGAAATCTGCCCACTCATCACTTCTTATACCACAATAGCATGGCATTATATTCCTATATCACAACTTATTCAGTCATTGCCTAACTGATGGGCATCCTCTCAATTCCCACTTCTTTGCCACCACAAAAAGAGCTGTTCTAAATATCTTTGTACATATATTTGTATATTTTCTATGATCTCTTTGGGATACAGACCTAGTGATGCTATTGCTGGATCAAAGGGTATGCACAGTTTTATAGCCCTTTGGGCATATGGAACCTCTATTTTTTTAAGAAGAGTCCAGACTAACTAACCTTCAGTTCTTCCATACTTTGCCACCAAGCCTCTTCACAAAAACCTCTTCCCCAGACCCTGGTTGGTTGGTTTGTTTGTTTTCTGCTCTCTAAGGTATTGTCTTCCCCCATTACAAAGTAAGCTCCTTAAGGGCAGAGACTGTCTTTATATCTCCAGCACTTAGCACAGGACATGGAATATTAAGTGATTAGCTGACTTCTGGCAAAACAAGTTTCTACCACTAAGTATAACCCTTCCTTAAGGTACTACATTTACTGTCAAAGCTTCAATTCCTCAAATAATTTTCATGCACCCTTTCACCCAAGTTTGCCAGTTTCATTCCTCCTATCTAGCTACATGGCTCACTCTCAAACAATTTTTTTTGTTGACTTGATACCAGCTCAAAGCAAAACTCCTTAACTTCCCTAATAATAACAACAGTGACAGAGACTCAAAGTTAATTTGTATAGTGCTTAAATTGCCTCCCTCAGAGAAACTTTGTTAGGCAGATAACACAAGTATGATTAGATGGGGAACATAAGGTGTGGAGAAAGGAAGTGATGACTTTGTATCTTCTGACACCTAGTTCAATATTCTTTTCATTATTTCATTATAACTCACTCAATTTTCCCTACCACAGACACAGTTACAGGGATCAGTTTCATCTTCAGTAGTAATACTTATTTTTAAAATTTGTGGCAGCTAGAGTCTGAAAAATGGGGGCATGTGATACTATCTGCCTTGGAAATGTTGAAAAATAGTCAAGCATGGCTGGCTGGTATAAAACAGATGGCCTTGTATGAAAGAAGAAAAATGTACTGAATGACCTAAGCTTCCATGCAGGTCTACGTTGCAAAAAGAGTCTGTATAAAGAACTTACTTGCCAATGTTTTCAGGTAGCGACTGGAGTGAGATGTCATTTACAGAAAGACACGTTAGATTCTGTAATTCAGGAAAGCTTTCTGGTAACCTAAAATATAAAAAGTCAGTTAAATCAGAAGCTCTCCAAGTACTTGAAACAATCAGCAAAAATATCGCAATTTATTTTAGAATAACAACCTAGGGTTTTCGTTTGTTTGTTTTAAAGAGAGGCAATCCAACTAAAGGATAAACCAAGGATTTTACAGACACATGCTTACCTTTAGTCCCAGCACTAGCAGCAACAATGAGGATTGAATGAATACTTGTAGATTAGTTAATTAGAAAATAATCAAAGACTAAAAATAAACAGGCATCTAAAATGAAAATAACTGACAATTCTTTCTATAGCACTTTTATATTTGCAAAACATTTTACTTTTTTTTTTTGCCTCTTACAGCAACCCTTGTGAGATATTTTCTACATTTGAAAAATGAGGAAACTGAGGCTCAGAGACTTGCCCATAATGGCATAGCCAGTAAATCCCACAGGTAGGATTCAAGCTCCAGCCTTCCTGATTCCAAGTCCAATCCTCTATCCACAACAAAAAAGTGAAGAAGTTGTTTATATTTTAAACCTTAATTAATACAAAAATGTCTGAGTGAATTTTTTTTTCTTTGATAGACTACTAACAGAGAAATACAGGGTAGCTATTGCATGAGAATCAAGAATTCACTCAGCCCACAAGATTTTCATACATCACAGAGCAAAGTCTTAGTCATTTTCCTTCCTGTGTCTTTCAATCCCAACTGCAAAGCTACTGCTTACTACAGTTGATCGGCTGACAGCCCACGACTGTCTTCTTTTCTCAATTCACTTGTACAGGCTGACAATCACCTGGGACAATTACTTGTTTTATAATGTTCTGCCAGAAGAAACTTCCTGCTTACAACAGGACTATGAACTCTTTAAACAAAAATATTCTGTACTTTGAAAATGTATAAAGGAACCCAAGTCTCAACATTTCTATGGTTACCAGGATGAAGAGGAAAAACCAACTTAATTGAAGGGAAAAAAAAAAACCACAAAAATTCCATTGTTCCTAAGCATTTTATGATGTGTATGCTTGCTTAAAAGTCCTTATATCCAATAAAACAATGTGTGATTAGAAAAAATTGTGGAGGAAAATCATACTTGTACACTGGCATTCACTTAAAAAAAACTTTAGTGAACACTACTGTTTTTTCAGATTAGTGCAGCTAATTACACTGAAAATATTAGTTGTTGTTCCATCATATTCAGTTTCAGTCCACCTCTTAGTGATCCCATTTGGGGTTTTCTTGGCAAAGATACTGGAATAGTTGGTCATTTCCTTCTCCAACTCATTTTACAAATGAGGAAACTGAGGCAAATGGAATTAAGTGACTTGCCCAGGGTCACGCAGCTAGTAAGTATCTGAGGCCAGATTTGAAATCAGGAAGATGAGCAAGTATTCCTGACTCTAGACCAGGTACTCTATTCACTGCACCACCTAGTTGCCCCCAAAATGAAAATACAGGAAGTAAAATATGAAATTCTTAAGAACAGGTCACTTTGACTTTAGATAGGGCTTTCCAGTTTCCAAAATGCTTTTTCTCACCAAGAAAACATTATTCACCTACTCTGAGTCAGAAATATCATGATCTGACATTAGTCACACAGTTTTAAGGGTTGGAGTTTGAACTTCAACCCAGGTCTTCTGACTGCCCGTCCTGTTTTCTTGACACCATATCCCATTCATCACCTCTCTTCAGTGTAATTTTTATAACACATGAAATGATAACCTTAATAATTAAAAAAATTACTCATGTAATAACAGATACAGGGCTTGAAGGGACCTTACAGGTCTCGTCTACTTCACTTTCCTGCCCAAGCCCCATTTTTTACAGAGGAGGAAATCAAGGCCTAGAAAAGGGAAATGATCTGCCCAAAGTCAACTAAGTGGTGACAAGGACAGAACAGAATCCAAACCCAATAATCTGAACTTTAATCTAGTGCTCTTTCCACTTCACCACACAATTCAATTTAACAAACATTTATTAAGCACTTCCTCTGTGCAGGGAACTAAGTTGGGAATTAAAAAAAAAAAAAAACAGCACTCTTAAACGTCAAAGAAGTTAAATTGGGGGAGAGGTAGACAACCTGGCCTGAACTTGGTGTCGAACAAACCCAAGTTCAAATCTGCCCCTAATACTTACTAGCTGAATACAAGCAAGTCATTTAATTTCTCTAAGGCTCAGACAATTCCCTAAAGTTATAATTCATATGTAGGCAGTGATCTAGGTTAGTGGAAAGAATTTCCACCATGTGATAAAATCATAACTTCTCCACCTATTGGCATTGACACATTCCCAGCTCCCTGCACTGTTCAAATCCGACAAACTGAAGAGAGATAAAAATTCTGAGAGAAATGAGGAGGGACAACGTTCTACTCACTGAAGGAAAACATGAAAATACATGAAGAAGGACAATCCTGGGTCAAATTTGGTGGGTACAAAGAGAATGCAAGAGAAGAAGCACTAAGAAATATTTGGAAAATCAGGTTGGAGGTAAATGGTGGAAGATTTATATGCAAGGCTGAGAAACTTACATTTTATACTCAAGGCTGAAAGGAACCACTGAAGGTTTCTGAAGAGGGTAGTGGCATGGTCAAATCTATGCCTCAGGAAGATGATTTGGGAAGCTTATACAGAAGACAGATTGGAGAGATGAGAAGCTAGAAATAGAGGATACCATTTATCATTTCTACCACACTGTGGGAAACAGTTCATAGTTCATACATTTAGAGTTAGATAAGCTATTAGAGATTACCTAGACTGGATCAATTTTCAAATGCGAAAAACTGAGGCCCAAGAAGTCAAGCAAGTTGCAAAATGACCTTTCTGTGTGGCAGGGTACAAAGTATGCTTAACTCAGAGTCAGAAGATCTAAAGTTCAAATACAAGGTTGAACACGTGCTACCTATGTGACTTCTGGCAAGTCAACTAATTATTCTTAGCTTCAAGTTCCCCATTTGTAAAATGAAGAGGTTGGGCTCAAGGCCTTTAAAATCCTTTTTCAGCTCTAAATTTATTATCATAAGTGGCAAGGCCCAGATTTAAACCCAGATCCTCTGACTGCAGAGTCACTTCTCTTTCCTCTACAATATCACCAAACGATTTTATTTTAAATAATCATGAATGCGTTTTCTTAAGAAGACTGATAATAGGCAGCTTTCTGACCGACTGTCGCTATGACAGCAAGACTTTCTCAAGATAGAAAAGGGAAAAGGCGTACATGAGTAAAAAGCAAAGCCAACAATACCCCTCAAACGCAATCCATTCAAGGGCATAAAGAGACTTTATTTTGATTCACTTGAGAAAAGAGAAGCTTCAATTACTCCAACAACTGAAAACAACCAAAAAACAAAAACAATCTCGATAAGCATTTATTACGCACCTGCTTTGTGCCTGACACTGTGCTAGCACTGGGAGGGTAAATACACATAAACCAAAAACAATTCTTACTCTCAGGAAGGTTACATTCCATCTACAGAGAGCCACTAAAATCCAATGTATTGACTTCATATATTTAAAATAATGGTAAATTACCTACATTGTTTATTAAGAGAAATGAAAGGTTTTAAGGAAAATTGGAAAATGAATAGAAAACAGAGACTGAGACTGGACTTCAGATTTCAGTGGTATAAAGAACTCCTGGGGGAGGAAACTCTCCTTGCCAATGCAAGTTGGCACCTTCTCTACAATATATAATATAAGACAGTTACCTGGAACAGAGGTGTCAAACTCATATGGAAATGGATTCCTACCAGAGCATGTTGATTTAGAAAACCACAAGTTAACATTATCTGTGTTTTATTGTATTTTTATTTATTTTGTTAAACATTCCCAACTATATTTGAATCTGGTGCAGAGCTCAGTAGACCCTAGCAGTGATTTGCCCAAAGTCACATAGATAGTGTCTTTCAGAGGTAGGAACTGAACTAGCCACTACTCCACTATACCTCTATTTGTTTGCATCCCCAGGGATTGGCAAAAAAAAAGAATTCTTTTACTCTTGAGAAACTTGCCTTCTAGCCATCAATACATCTCCACTAAAACTCAAATTCAATCTACTTGTTATATTTAATTTTTAAAAAATGTTTAAAATATTTAAAATCATGGTAAATCATTTCCATTGCTTAAGAAAAATGTAATCAGATTTCAAGGGGAATTGGAAATGAAGAGAAAACAGATGTAGGAGCTTCTGGGAGCTGTGAGGCAAAGATCCAAGACTAAGGGAATGGACTCTGCCCCCTCTGTTCTCACAAGCTGCCTCAGGTCAGTGGAGCAGCAAACTGGAGAAAAAGGAATGGTCAAGAGTCACAAACTTTTAGAGTTGGAATAGGCCTAAAGTCAGACCACAATGCCTGTGGCTTATTATTTATTATTGAAAAATAACCAGTGAAAGTCAAAAATAAGAAAAAAAAAAACACCTTGGGAAGGGAATACATAATGGGAGAAAGAAGGAGGATGGACTAAAAAAAAAAGTTGTCATACACTTATGCTTGATAGAGGGGCAAGGGCTGAACTCCCTCTATGATGGCAAGGAGATACTTTGTATCCATGGAGAGAGTAGGTAGAGGTAAAGATCAATGGAAAACCTCATCAAGTAGGGATCTTAAAAGAGAGATGATGCAGTAATAGGCAATGGATGTGAAAGGTGATATTAAGATAAAGGAAGGAGGCTCAACGGAACACAGAAAAAAAAAGGCCCTTCTCCATTTGATTCTTCTATTAGTATTCCAGAAACAAGTATATACACCGGGGTCAGGAAAACCTGAGCTGACATCTGGCCTCAGGCCCTTACCAGCTGTGATCTTGAGCAAGCTTCTCAATCTGTCTGCATCAGTTTCCTCATCTGTAAACTAGAGACAACAGCAGCACCTATCTCCCTGGGTTGTTGTGAGGATAAAATAAGATAATATGTGTAACGTGCTTTGCAAACCTGAAAGTGCTACATAAAAGCTAGTTATTTATTTTTATATGTGAGGCAGCTCAGGTTTAGTGAATAGAGTGTTGGACTTGGAGTCAGGAAGATCTGAGTTCAAATTTGGCCTTAGGCCTTTACTAGCTTACGTGACTGTGGTTCAGACATTTAGACCCCCTAAACCTCAGTTTCTTCAATCTGTAAAATGGGGATAATAATATATCATTACATACAATATAAATAATTATATTAATAATAATAGCACTTACCTCAAAAGATTATTTTGATTATCAGATGCATTAAGACATGCTTTGCAAAACTTAAAGTGCTTTATTATTGTTATTATCATCATCATTATTATTATTATCATTATTTACATTGATCTGCCTAGTATCTCAATATCAAGGGCATAGGAAACTCCTGGAGGAGTTGGCCTTGGAGTCAGGAGAAACCTGGATTCAAATCCTGCTTCTCCTACCAGTTATATGACCATGGGCAAATCATTTAACCTCTAGGCTTCAGTTTCCTCATCAGTAAAATAGGTAATAATATCCATTGAGTTTATCTTACAGAGTTACTATAAGGTTTAGATGCACTTTGAAAACTTTAATACACTATATAAATGTCACTGATTACTATTACTTATATATGTGAAGGCCCATCAAGTGAATGAGGTTTCTGGTATTCTACATGGTCTCAGAGGCCAGGATCAGGACTACAGGGAGGAGTTACAAGGAGGTAGATTTTGGCTTAATATAAGAAAAAAACTTCCTAATTCTCAGAGCTGTCTGAAAATAGACTGTAACGAAGGAGTAGTAAGGAGGGAGTAAGAAGTCGGGTAATGAATCCCTAGTTTCCAAGATCAAAGCAAGATCACTTGTTGAGGCTGCTACAGAATGATGCATCTGCTGGGAGGCTCTACTTGGATAACCAGGGAGGTTCTTGACAACCTCACAGAACTGAACTGCTATACCTAGAAGGAACCTTAAAGGTCATAGAACCCAACTCTCTCCATTTTAAAGATGAGGAACCCAAGGGCCTGAAATGATAGAATCATAAAGCTTAGCACTAGAAGGGACATACAGAGATAACCTGAGGTCTACAAACTTGGTTTTTTTTAAAAATATATTTTGATAATTATTTATAATAATATATCCATATTTGTAACATCTGAATAATAATATATTTATAGTTATAATTCATTTCCTCTGTAATCCTATTTCATTTTATGCATTTAAAAACATTATTCTGAGAAGGGGTCTATAGGCTTCACCAGGCTGCCAAAGAGGTCCATAACACACCCCTTATGTCACAGATAAGTAAATGGAAACAGCAGTCAAGTGACTTGGTCAAGGTCAGTAGAGTGAGAATACCAGGCCTCCAAGTTGTAAATCCCAGGCTCTTTCTTCACCACTTTATCTCCTATTAGTATGAGTAAGATGAAGATGTCAGGAAGGCCTCAAGACAGTTGGTATTGAGTCACCAATTGCTTCCCACCAGGAAGGGCAACCTGAAGGTTGCTGCTAATCAGAGATGTGGGAGGGAGAGAAGAATGAACCCAATGAAAGCACTGGAGGACTGTTTAAATAAGGAAATAATATTTCTAAGAGTTAAGGAAAGACTTACTAGTTAACTATAAGAAAACCTGAAGAAACAGACAATACGTTTCAAATAGGATGATTTTTATTAGAAAAGCTAGACAGTAAACTCCTTATGGCTGAGAATCACGTTTTCCAATTACAAAGGACTTATGATATCCACTTCCAGAAAAAAAAAAAAACTGACGGAGTCTGTGAAACATGCTATTTTTTTACTTTTGTTTCCATGTTTTTGGTTTTTGGTTTTTTTGTGGGGGGAGGTCTATGTTTTCTTTCATAACATGACTAATATGTAAATATGTCTTACATGATTGCATATGTATAACCTATATAGAATTGCTTGCCCTCCTGGAGAGGGAGGAGGGGTTGGAGTGAGAAAAGAATCTGGAATTCAAAATTTAAAAAAAAAAAGTGTTAAAAATTCTTTTTACAAGTCATCGGAAAAAAAATAAAATATTAAAATTTTTAAAAAAGAATCATGTCTTTTATCTTCTTAGGGTTCCACAGTCCTTCCTTCAAGACGGGCTTCTTCCCATTTGCACAGTACGCTCCATAAATATTTGCTGATTAATATTTTTAAATAAAGCATAAAATATAATATACTTATTTTCCATTTCTAAGTATAGGTTTTACAAGTTACTGAAATTCCTTACACAGATTCTTCCCAACATGTATTTTACTCTCCTTACCATGTTGCTCCATCTTTCTTCTATTTCAATAATTTCTATCAATAGAACAGCCTCCTTTCCATTGCTACCATTTGGCATGTACTAAGTGAAGTGCTATTTATAAAAATAACTTAAAAGTAAATAGCTCCTCATATGGTTGAAAAACTGTCACATTAACTAATATATGCATTACCAAGATACAAAAACAATGCTGAGTTTTATTTGGCTTTTTACTTAGTCACACTAATTGAAAAAAGAGACAGTTTACCTAGTCAATGGATTTCCACTAAAGTCAGCTCTCTGAAGTGCTTTGCAGAATGAAATGCTTTCTGGAATTTCAGGAATATCTGTTTAAAAGAAAGAAAGAAAGAAAGAAAACAACTGTCATTCACCCTTACTGCCAGCAAGACCTTATGCTATATCATAAACACAGCATGTATTTGGGGAAAACGAAAACCAAACAAATGCATTTTGCATTTTTTTCCTACTGACTAATACCAGAAAGTGAAAATATTTTAAATGATTGGAATTTTCAAAGTTAAGATTGCTATTTCAAAAATCATCTTAATAAATATTTCTTTGCTAGGTCATAAAATCTGAGCTTTATATATTTTTACAAGTTGCCTCTTGGCACTTCATTTCAATAATATAAATATGCTTCTGACATGTTAAATATTAACATGGTAAAGCAGCTAAAATAGAAAGCCAAATAAGTTTTTCCTGGCCTCATGCTATTTCCACCATCATTACCAAATGACTTAAGAGCCTGGCTTATGGCCTGTCTCCACTTATTCTCCTGCCACTATCCTCTGGGAATTCAACATTAAAGTAGGCATCCCTCTCTAATTACTAGACCACAAAATTTCTCAGCTCCTACAATCCCCAAAACTACCTTTTCTCCTCATCTCCCTACTTCAGGCACACTCTGGAAAGACTCTGGAAAGACTCCTAGGCCCCTCAGTCAATGAACATTTATTAAGCATCAACTACATGCCAGGTACTGTGCTAAGAAGCAGGGATACAAAAAGAGGCAAAAAGACAGTCTCTACCCTCAAGGAGTTCACAATCTAATGGAGGAAAAATGAAAAAAAAATTATAAATAAGCTATATATAGGAAAATAGGATATAAAAAAAGGGAAAATACAAAAATTAAGAAGGGTTAGGAATGGCTTCCTATAGAAGATGGGATTTTAGTTGGGACTCATAGAAAACCAGGGAAGCCAGTAGGCAGAGATGAGGAAGGAAAACAATCCAGGGATTGGGGGACAGTCAAAGAAAATATCCAGAGCCAAGAGATGGAGTATGTTGTTCATGGAACAAGGAAGCCAGTATCACTGGAAGGAAGAGAATATGATGGGCCATAAATTGTAACAAGACTAGAAAGGTAGGAGGGGGCTAGATTATGAAGAGCATCTAACATCTCTCACCAACTCTTAGCATTACTACTATCACGATCCTGAATTTTGAAATTCTACTCTAATCACAACTGCTCACTTTCTTTCTTTTCTTTTTTTTTCTTCTTAGGCAAATGGGGTTAAGTGACTTGCCCAAGGTCACACAGCTAGTAAATGTCAAGTGTTTGGTTTGAGGTCAAAGTTGAACTCAGGTCCTCCTGACTTCAGGGCAGGTGCTCTATCCACTGAGCCACCTAGCTAACTGCTCTCTTTCTCACTCACACTAAACCTCCACTTGAACTTTCAATCACTGGGTCCAAGATACATTGCTTTTTTTCTAGTATGTTTTCCCCATTCTAGCTTCACTCACATCCATATCCAGTCTTCATCCCTCCCTCTGCCCAAGGGCAATAACTATGTGTCACTAGACACTATCCAGAATCCCTTGCCACTCTGACTACAGAATCCTCATTCATGGTTAATCCTACCATCTCCTTTCACTGAGCATTACTAGGTGAAAATCATGGTCCAGCTGATTTTACTTACTACAATTGAATAGCCTATACCTACCTACAGCTGAGCCCTGGCTGCTGCTTAACAATCATTTATGGACTACCTGTCTCATTGCCCACTCAAATGTTCTCTCCTCTTGCTGTTAACCAAACCGCCATCTGCCAAAGAAAACATGACCCACCATGGATTCTTGATCTTGTGAGTCATGGCAGTCTGTTGAAGCCTATGGATCACTTCTCAGAATAATTTTTTTTTTTAGTGTACAAAATAAAATACAAATGATTACAAGGGAAACCATTACATTGAAATATGGCTATCAAAATATTTTTAAAAACCAAGTTCAAACACCTCAGGTTAAGAATCCGTGGCATAGATGTATACTTTACTCTTCATCTCTGCCTACTGGCTTCCCTGGTTTCCTATAAGTCTCAACTAAAATCCCACCTTCTAGAGGGAGCCTTTTCTAACCCATCTGATCTGTACTACCTCAGACCTCTTTTCCCTCTTCCACTACTTCTAACTTCATTTCATCCATCATCACTCACCCTCACCTCCTTTCCTCAGGTCACTAAAGAACTATTTTCACTCACTATAATGAATAATTTTATTAGCGCATCTGCACCCCAAAAATATCTCTAAAATCTATCTCCTTCTCCTAAAATCTACCTTCCCATTCATAAAGCCACCAAATGCTAGTTCAGGCTTTCATCATCTTTCACCCAGACCATGGAAATAGCTTCCAAATGGTCTCTTCCTGACTCCATTCTCTCTCTTCTCCAATACACCTTCCCCACAACTTCCTAAGTAATTTTTCTAAAGTATGGGTCTGATCATGCCACACTCTTACTCAAAAACTCTGATAGTTACAATTGCCTCTAACACTATCTCTTTATTTAGTTTTTTAAGCTCTTCACAACGTGCCCCTAACATATCTTCCCAATATATATTATTTTCCCTTTGCTGAACTTTATAGCTTAGCCAAACCTCTCTACTTGTTACTAACCCATATGCCACACTATGCATCGTTACACTGGTTGTCCCTCATACCCTCCCACCTCACCTTTACTTCTTAAAATCCTTTTTTCCCTTGAAATCTCTGCTCAAACACCACCTTCTACATGGCCTTTCCTAATCCCCACCTTCCCAGTCCTCCCCTACTATAAATTTAACTTGCATATATTTTGAATATACTCATTTATGTATAAGTTTGTCTCTCCCAACAGAATATGGGCTCCTTGAGGGCAGAAACTATTTCATTTTTGTCCTCATATCCCCAGCACCTGGCATAGAAAAGGTGCTTAATAAATGCTTACTGACTGGTTGATATCTTTTTTTCCCCGTCTTGTCCAAAATTTCAAGACAAAGTCATCCCTCTTCTCTTATGTGTCCTCAGTTTCTCCCTCAAGATTAGCTCCTTCTCATTTACATGGTTAGTCAGTCAATAAAAATGTATTAAGTGTCTACTATGTGTCAGGCACCATGCTAAGATCCAGGGATACAAAAAAGAGGCAAAACCAGTCCCTGCCCTCAAAGAGCTCACAATCTAAAGGGGCGGAACACAAACAACAAATGTGTACAGTAAAGCTAGAGGCAGGATAAATATCGAATAAGAGAGAAAAGGCATTAATACAATATGAGAGCTTTGCTATTCTTAAAAAAAAAAAAAAAAGTCTTCCCTTTATCTTTCTATCCCACTCAGCTACTCATTTCCTCCTCCTCTTCATGGCTAAACTTGCTGAAAAATTTGGCCACATCTGATGCCTCTCCTTCACTCCCCAGTCTTCAAAGAAAGACTCTGCGGGAAATCTAGTGTGGAAAGGAACAGAAGTCTGGTCAACTGATGGTGTTCCATAAGTGTGTTAAGACATTTAGATCAACAATGCAATGGCCAAACGTGATTTCAAGGGAAGAACAATAATGACATATGCTACCACCTCCTGCCAGATAAATGCTGAACTTGAGATGCAGATTTTGGACACAACTAATGAGGGAATTTGTTTTGTTTGACTCTGTGTGCTTGTTGCAAGGGTTTTTGATTTTTTTTTCCCCTTTATTCTTTTATTCAATGTGGAAGAGGATGACTGGAGGTAAGAAGAAAAGAAAATGAATATTTGTAATTGAATTTTTTTAACAATTAAAAAAACTGTTTAGGTCATCAACAGAATATTTATTTATTGAGTGTTTTGGGAATACTTAGCATCATCAAAGCATCCCAGATTTAGGGCCTTGAACATCATCCAATCCAAAACCTTCATTTTTCAAAATAAGGCCCAGGGAAGTAAAATGATTTACCTAAGGTCATGGAGCCAGTAAGTAGCAGGGCAGAGATTTTAACTGAGGTCATGTGACTCCAAATCCAGCACTGTTTATATACTACACAATGAAACCCCTCAAAATTGCACCAAAACATCAAAATATTACCTTAGTGGCTCTTGTGTTCATGGCCTTTAGAAAATATTTAAGTGTCATTTTTTCTTGAGTTTCCATTAGTACTATGATATCAAATTCTTTGACTTTCAATTTAGTTTACTATTTTTAACAAAGAAATGATGACATCCTCAACTAACATCCTTCTTTATTACGATGCCTCATCAGGGTTGGAAGGGGATGCTGTGTTCTCAAAGACTATGCCAGTTATGTCTAAGCTCTGACAGGTTCTGCCCCACTGGTAAGCCTTCAAAATAGGGCCAGCGATGGAATGTATGCCTCTCATCCAAAGCCAGCCACGATTAATTCAGAGAGGCTCATCACCAGAAGGTTGGCCACCATCTGTAATTTTTTTTTTTTGGTCACAACAATGTACAAGACTAAGGCATAAAGAGACTAACAGACTATCACTCATATTCATAGAAGTACTCAAACTAGCAAAATCATAGATTACAGGGTACCACACCACCCCCTCTGCCTACTCACATGACACAAATAAAATCATTTTTTCAACTACAGCTTGTAGACCTGGAAGGGACCCCAGCAGCCATGCAATCTACTCCGTTCCTTTGTCAGATGAGGTAACTGAGGTCCAAAGAGGTTAAGCAACTCCCCAAAGTCACAAAGATAGTAAGCATCTGAGGTAGGATTTAAACCCAGGTCCTCTTTCCTATGGGCAGCTAAGGGGTACAGTAGATAGAGTACAGAAGTCAGAAAGATAGGAATTCAAATCTGGCCTCAGATACTCAATGTGTGACCCTGGGCAAGTCCCTTAACCCTGTTTGTCTCTATAAAATGAGCTATAGAAGAAAATGGCAAACCACTTCAGTATTTTTGACAGGAAAACCCCAAATGGGGTCATGAAGAGTCGTACATAACTGAAAAACAATTGAACCTCTTTTCTATAACGATTTCAAGGTTAAACGGCACTATATACATCCTATATTTAATCTTAAGTGAAACACCAAAATTAACATAATTCAATCATTTTAAAAGGAAGCGGGAATAAAGAA